GAGGCAAACTCAGAAAGCTGACAGCCTGCACTTGGTGAGGAGACCTTTCTCTGCAACACATGCACACACACACACACACGCGCGCGCGCGCACCATATCCATGCTCATACTTCCAAAGCAACACAATTTGACAGTGACTTCTGATTCTTAAGACATTTAGGAGACACTAAAGCAAAAACAGAGAAAGATGTTACATGGCGTTAAATATAAAACCACCGTTTCTTTAATAAACTGCTGCACAATTGTTAGTGGGACAAACTAAGATGGAACACTGAAGCAGATATAGCATTAGTCAGGGTATGATTGAACACAATGACTTCTCCAGTAATTATGTAATTATCTTATGAATCCTTTATGATGTGCAATATCTTTACATGCTGTCTCCTCTTTCATCAACACACATTTCGTCGTACTGACGACATCTCTGTGTGACTTCCTTGTTCAAGCCAAGATACTTTGTGCTGTAGACCTACTGTACTCTGTGTCAGTTTCAGATTATTATATACCTACTAATAGCAGATATAGCATTTGTAAGGGTATCCTAACAAAATACTGTACAGAGTAATTGAGTGAAATTTACTGTCAGCGGTGTCATCTCAATGTTTTGCCAAGAGTGACAGAAGAGCAATGGTGTTTTCCTAGTGATCAATTTCCAATCCAACTCCATGTTATGTGGCCCTGCACCTACAGGAACTGTCTGTAATGCTTTCTAGGTTCCCATGCAGCACTTTCAAGCCTCTGGGAATGGGTTTGTACTATATTTACAAAATGCTACCTGACCATGTGGCGATGTGTCATGGCTTCTGTTGGGCTGCACACTTGGACGCCGCTCTGTGTGTTTGCAGAAGCTTAGGGAATAAATTAACACGTGTGGGCAATCACTCCCTTTTTTGCAGCAGAATCCAGAACCAGAGATTGCAGCGCTGAATACGATAACAGAAGTGCGTTCAGCCCAGCCACTTTGTTAATTGCCTCCGTCATTCGTTTTAGGCAGCTCGTTTCATGTGATGCTTGGTAGTCGGTGTAAGAGATCACTCTGTTATTGATGAGTCTTTTATTCATCTATTAAAACATCAATAAGAGGGCAGGCAGTTCTTCTGTTTTACCTCCAAACATCTGAACTCGCAGCTTGCAGGCACAACGATTTATCTAATGAATCCTTATAACCGACAAAAACATGCAACTTTACATGCTGTCACCTCTTTCATCAACGCACATTTCATCGTACTGACCACATAGCCACTCTCTGTGTGACTTCCTTGTTCAAGCCAAGGTGATTTGTGCTGTTAGGCCTACTCAACTCTGTCACCATGATGCTTTCAGAGCAGCTGTTTCTGTGAACTTTATCAGATGAACCGAAGTGATTTTGACATTCAGAAAAACCACACTGTAGGCAGTAGTAGATCCACTGATTCAAATACATAAGAATCCTGTGAAGAATGATGTATTTTATCAATCTAAAACATCCCAGCGTCACAGAGAACACCAGGGGACCACACAGCAAATTCTGTGGTTTTACTTTCATCGTCTCACTAGATAAACAGGAAGGCAAATTTTCCCTCTCTATGACACAGTGGCTTATTTCCTGTTTCTTCAGTAGTATTTTTTTCTTCTGTGTAAATGAGCTTGAAATTCTGTGTCGTGGGCAGGAGGGGAGAAAAAGGCAGTCACTTCTTGTAAAGCACTGATAGCAGTGGGCTGTATTTGGCTAAGTGACGCAAGTACAGGGGTTTGCCCAAAGGTTCTGTGACAGTAAGGACCCACAGCTCAGAATTATGATCTTTCGGCCACGGTGTGTTGACCTTTTCACTACCCAAGTGGAATATTTCTCCCCTGCTATTCCCACATCAAAAAGAAAAAAATGTTGACGTACAGTTTGCTCTACTTTTATTATCTCGAAGTTGATGTTCGGTAAAAAAGACACTATAGAGAGCTTGTTTTGGAAATGACATGACTTACATCATCAAAAATGTTAGACTTTTCAGATTATGGTGCTTACTCAGCTACACTGTGTTTATACTGTAAAGGTAGTGATTGAATCAGTATTGATAGGTGGGTGTCAAAGGACAAAAACAACTTTACCTAAGTTAGCTAAAGTGTGCTGTAGATTTTTTTTTATGTGTTTTTATTAACTTCCCAGCAACCTATGGGCTCTGTTCATTTATGAATGACAAACATGTTGAATAGACATTCAATAAATGTCAATAAATTTTAATAAAAATTGATGCTCACACCTACTGAAGTGAATGGAAACTAATGGCTGCTATGAGTTCAGAAACAGGACTGAAAGTCTGCACTCATGCTAACTGTAGAGCACAGTACTGATTTGAGCCAAGGACTAATGGCAGCATGCTAACATGCTTACAATGGCAATGCTAACGTGTTAATGCTCCTCATGCATATTGTTTATTAAGTTCAACATCTTAGTTTAGCGTGTTAGCATGCTAACATTTGCTAATTAGCACTAACTATAAAGTAGCCTACTCTACAGCTGAGGCCAATGGCAATGCCATTCGTTTAGCAGGTATTTGGTCATCAGCCAAAGTACTGTGCAAGTAAAACATTTGACCTGATGAAGGTGCTATTAAAAGTCAGAGGATCACAAAAGTTATATATAAAGTTGTGCTGAAGGGGACATGTGTGTACTAAATTTCATGGCAAACCATCCAATTGTTTTGGAGAAATTTCACTCAAAACTACAAATGTCAGCCTCATGATGGTGCTTGGTTAGTCAGGGGATCAACCAAGTCTGTAGGATTAAACCCACAGACTGTATATAAAAAGTGGACGTAGTCATCGTGGTGTGACCCGTTGGTTTGTGGACTGCTGTGTTGAAGGCTTGAGTTTGACCGATAGGCCGCCACCATGTTGACCAGCGTCACCGGACATGACCATATGTGGACGAGACGGTGGAACTAACAGCCGTGTGTGGAGCTAGTTAGTTTGCTTAGCTAGGTGCATCTGTAATTCATGTCATTTTAACAGGGCTGACAACTTTGTCTAGCAGTCTTAAAACTAAATGTACTCACCAGAGAAAGTGAACAGCCAACTCCTAATAAGCTTTTTCAATGGTGCTGGTTAAAATTACACAGTGCCGTGGGTACGAGTCACTCAAGCCTGATTGACAGGTCGCCATGGTAATGACTTGTCAATCATAGATAATTCCGCCCTGAAGCATACTCTGCTTTATGGTCTATTTTCCTCTAAACAGGACCATAATTTACTAAATGAACATCATGTTGTATTGAAGAAGACATGAAACTAGCGATTGAGACCATAATCTCATTAGGAAAGTGTTTACTGAGGTAATTAGTCAGCTGAGAAGTAGGGTCATTTTACCATCATGTCTAATGGAGCCAACCAGAAGAGTTGCACCCTGCTGGCCGTTTGATAGAATGCAGGTTTAAGGGACTTCGGCGTTCGCATCAGTTTGCTGACTGGAAGCTTCCCGCTTGATGAAACCTCTAGGGACTGTGATTGTGTGTACAAAATTGCACTGCAATCCATCCAATAGCTGTTAAGCTGTATCAGTCTGGACCAAAGAGGTGAACCAACAGACAGACATTGCCATCCTCAAAGCAAATACATTCAAATAGATTTTTAATAAATCTGCCATGCTTTGGAAAATGGTCACAGGTGAAATATACTTTCAATATACTTTACAAAAATACCTGGATGGAAACAGGATAATGCTACAGATTTTAATTTCCATTGATAAGATTTGAAGTCACCCAGTCTGACTTGTAACCACACAGTAAAGCCGCTGGTATCACCAATAAAAGAGATCTTTTCTCAAACATCCTGTCCCTGTGTGTTTTCCAGGAGAGTGAGAACCTGGAGAAGGAGAACGCTGCCCTGAGGAAGGAGGTGAAGCAGCTGACTGAGGAGGCCAAGTATCTGTCGTCTGTGCTGAGCAGCCACGAACCTCTGTGCACCGGCCTGACTCCTCAGACCCCTGACCTCCTCTACCCTCCTCATCACAGCAGCTACCACCACCAGCACATCACTGTACCACACTACCAGCACTGACCTGTATGACTACTGAGACGGCCGAAGACGTGCTGCGAACAGATGACTGACCTCAACAGAGAGAAAGACTGACTGGAGATCTGTCCGTAAATGTTAACCATTGTTCAAATTGATCAAGGAATAACATGGCAGGCCAATATGTCTGCCAAACAATGACAGTATGGGACCCAAACTGTACCATGCAGTATTCAAAACTATTTATTTTGCTTCTGCTCATGTCTTTGCTTTTTTTCCTGATTCATTTCAGTGATCTGTATGGCTCAATAAGTAGAATTGTCAACCAGTCTATGTTTACATTGGGAGAAAAAAAAACAACCTACGGTATGTTCAGGTGACTCAGATGATACGGTATTTTTGTAAATTGCTTAATTTTTTTGTGTCACAGAGAGCACCTCTGTCATCCAGTCATGTTTTGAGTTTTCGTGTTTTTTAATGTGTTTCAGTGTGTAAATGTAGATGCGAATATGCTCAGGAGCTTTTGACAGATTTGATTGTGGACAAACAAGAATGTAAAGTCAAGATCCTAAAAAGAGGCTTAAATGTACCAAAAAAACAGAATGGCTCACAGTGAAGAATGCGTATTCAAAGGGTCTTGACTTGTGTACTGGAGACCCAGCAAAGATATTTATTAAATGTGATGCCTTTTAGGTGATTGTTTCTGACCTCTGGAGGGTTTTTATTCAGGCCTTCATGCAGCTAAAGTCTGCACTGGTGGTGATCACATGTGCAAACCACCTTGGTGTTTCATTTTGAGAGAGTCCCTAGATGGCGCTGCTCACCATTATGAGAGATGGAGTTAAGAGTAGCCTAGCTTGTTGTAAAACACAAACATTCATTCATAGTCTGCCTTGTGTGGGCGTGAATGCATATCTGTCTTTGAACACAACTTAGGCTTCCGTGTCATTCACCCTTTTAGTAACCATTCTATTATTATTATTAGGCTAGTGGAGAAAATAAATGACCTTTAATCAGCACTGTTTTTAGACTAGAAAGTAGCCTACAATGGTAGTAATGAAGACATAGCCTACATTATAATCGAAGGAACCGCAGATATTTGAGGACGTAACTAATCGTCCCAGTGTCAGATATCTCAGCGTTACAGGCTGATCAGATAAAACAAAGAACAGTGTTTGAAACTCCGCCCTTGGTTTGCGTTGACCGAGTACTTTCAAGATCCCAAATCGTTTTTAGGTCCGGGTGGAGGGTCACAGTAGGCGCCCCTACACGTGTTTACGCTCGGAAAGGTCGATCTGAAAGAAAGGATCATATTCATTCAAGAAACTGTCTGTAACTCTAACTGAAACTGCACTGGCTTCAGGCGTAAGTTACTAACCTACTGCTGAACGAACTTCAGGAGGAAATGAATTAATGGAGCCGAGAGTACTGCACAAACTGGAAGTTGTAGAGCCGTCACTACTTGCGCATTAGCCTAACTATTCAGATTGCACTGGAGAGTTGAACTTGTAGGTTTAAACATGACGCTGTAGGCCTATCTGTCGTTAACGTGACACATAACGGAAAGCGCTGGGCTGGTAACAGGGCAAGTACTTTGAGACACTTTCAGTGGAGTTTGCGGTGATTTAACGCACATCCGTTGAGCAAAAACGTTATACTCAATGAGTGTATTGAGGAGACTTGTTTAATATGAACGAAAAACCAGCGTTAGGAGATAAACTACACGAGGATCAAACTAAGGCGGACTTGGAGAACCATGTGAAGTTGGAGGCGGGGGACGCGGATCTGCCCGCCGATAATCAGAGTGAGCTGGACAGTCATGTAGCGCTGCCACCCACCCATCTGTACAAACGGCGCTGGATGATTGTCCTCCTGTTCAGCTCATATTCACTATGCAACTCCTTCCAATGGATACAGTACGGCATCATCAACAACATTTTCATGAAATTCTACAACGTGGGCACCTTCACTATAGACTGGATGTCTATGATCTACATGCTGACATACATTCCCTTCATCTTCCCGGTGACCTGGCTGCTGGACAAAAAGGGGCTCCGGGTCATCGCGCTGGTGGCCACAGCGCTCAACTGTGCAGGGACATGGATCAAAGTGGCCAGCGTCAGACACAACCTATTCGCCGTCACCTTTCTGGGACAGTTCTGCTGCTCGTTCGCGCAGGTGTTCATCCTCGGGATGCCGTCGAGAATCGCGTCTGTGTGGTTTGGTTCAGAGGAAGTGTCAACCGCCTGCGCCATCGGAGTCTTCGGGAATCAGGTAGGCCGAGACGAAGGCAGTCCTGTAGTCAGTTACAAATCAGCTCTTCACCTACTTGATCATTGATTTATTAAGTTTTACTACGTAATAGCGCCACTAACTCAGGATCATTTGGACATTCCCACCTCTATTTGGCACGTGTGCGTAATTACGCGCGTTGAAGCAACCACAGAGGATCTCCTGTGCGCACAACACTCAATATTGTCTGCTCTGCTGAAAAGGTGAGAGAATGACAGCAATATACATGGAACCGGCATGCAAGAAGAGACACATTTTACAAGTCTAACAACATCACTATGTATCTTAATATCAGCGAGAGATGAAGCCAAAACAGTTTCTCTAATCATGTTATATTAAACAGTGTGGAGAAAAAAATCTCTACACACCTGCAAAACTATGTCAACTCAAAGCCACCTATTATTCAACAGCATATTTGATTTTTATTTATTAGGATCCCCATAAGCTGATACAAAAAAGCATCAGCTACTCTGACTGGGGTCCACACAGAACTATAACAACAGAGAAAACACACTACACCATCAATACACAAAACAACAAATTACACACAATCAGTACAAACAACAAAACATTTCAAAGAAATACACAATCATACACAGAACAACTTTTATGTGTTGGCATAGAACAAATAAGATTCATATCAGAAAACATGTAGTCAACCCTGTATTTACTTACTTTTTGGCTGTGGCCCAAGGAACACCTAAAGGAGAGTTGGGAAAATGATACGATTTGGAAGGGACATCAAATACATGCATGTCTGATATGTCTTCAGGCACTGTGTGATAGAAACACTGAGGGCAGAACCGTCCAAAAACGAACCAGTAGCTAATGGCTGTAATAGGTGGCCTAATGTGTTCTTGCTGCAGTTTTTTCAAAGCTTTCTTGTTAGACTGAGAATTCTTATTCTTTTTAGGCCTATATTAAGTGCAATTACTCAAAAACAAACAAACAGATCAAATTTTGCATTTTTATCATCCACCCGAGCAGCCAAATAAGCAGACAGGAGTGCAAAGATCAGCATCGTGCCACTGTTAATATAAGCCCACAAGCATCAGATTTAACACTTTAAGATTTTGAACAAACAACACTTACAGTGTGATACAGTACATCAACTCCAAGTAAATGTCACCGAAAAAGTCATCACTTAGTGCTGGACGATTTGCTGTGTGTAACCCAGAGCATGGACTGGGTTTTTTGGATGCGGTTTCAGTAAGTAAGAGAGAACATTTTCTGGCTTTCTGATAGACTTCTAAAAGATCTAGGTAAATGTGTTTTGGCACGGGTATCTGTAGGTGATAAATAACAAAGACTTGGAAACATTAATATTTTCAAATAAGTTATTCTTAGACTTTATTAAAGTTCAACAGAGAAATATGTTATGTTATTCAGACTAAAGAGGTCAGGTCTGAGTAGGTAGGAGTGGTTTAGGTAGAATTGGACGATTCCCTAAATTAACATCATATGACAGGACAAAAGAAATGTGCAATGAGTTGTGAATGGACTCCAGTAACTCCAACTGTGCTTGCTCTCTGGCTTCTCTGAGAAAAGCATCTTTCTACAACAGGCAGTTGGTACACAGGACAGCAAGCTCTGAAATTTTAAGACCTCTCACGCTCCAGTGGCCCACTTTAGGACAGTTGAAATGCCACAAAACAATACTTTGAAAGGCAACCATGCAAATTCTGAACTCGGTGGTGAAGCGTGGATGTGGTCCAAGGCTGCAGAGAATCTCGCTCCGGGCCTCGTTTCGCTGCAGTGGAGTCCAGGAGCTTTAGGCAGAGACATCTCCGCTGGTTCACGGTTAGACGTTGAGGCTTTACAAGGTGATCAGGCAGAGCTGGTCCTCAAGGCTGAAACCAAACTTTACCATCGTCGCTGGTTCATGCTGTTTCTCTTCAGCGCCGTCTCAGCCAGCAATGCCTTCATTTGGCTTCAGTACGGCATTATAAGCAACATATTCATGCGCTTCTATAACACTGACTCTCTGGCCATCGACTGGTTGTCCATGATCTACCTGCTCACTTACATTCCGCTTATTCTGCCTGTCCTGTGGCTTCTGGACAACAGGGGAATCCGGGATATTGTTCTTGTCGGGTCGGCCTTTAACTGCATTGGTGCTTGGATCAAAATTGGTAGTGCCAGTCCCAATCTGTTCACCGTCACTTTTTTAGGCCAGTTTGTGTGCTCAGTTGCCACGGTGTTTGTCCTTGGTATTCCTTCTTACCTTGCCTCAGTGTGGTTTGGAGAGGAAGAGGTGTCAACTGCTTGTTCCATAGGAGTTCTGGGAAACCAGGTTGGTCTGAATATCTGACAGTTTTGCAGCAGGGTCTGCATAGCATGGCTGTCTGACAGCTGTCTGTAGATTTTGCAGGGCTGCACTGGATGCCAGAGTCGCATAAGACCTCTAGTGTTCTGGTGCAAGAGTCCTGAGAAAATTGTGTTAACTGTTCGATGAAACCATCTTGTCATACTTTGTCTGTTTAGCTGTTTAAATGTAAAAGCACTCTTTCCCAATTGTGAAATTCTGTGTTGAATGAGTCTGATCACATAGATGCTTTTAAAACATGTTTAAATGGCAGCCTGTTTTTGTAATAAGACAATAATGTGGTTTGTTATCACTGGGTATCATTGACCTGCACATGTGAATTCTACATGAGTAGTGCAAAATATCTGTTGATGGTTAAAATTTATTTGACAACCAAGATGTGAGGCTACTGTGGATAACTTGATATCTACCTTTTAAAGAGCAAGTAGGTCTTAAAATTATTCAATTTACATTTAGAGCCCTAAATACTATTAAATGAGTGTAATATACACTGGTGTCAAAACAAACAGTAATAGCTACCAAATGTGAAATAAATTCTTGGGAGCTGGTCAACCCTTATTGATAAAGAAGGTGTCAAGAAACTCAGGCTATCTTTCATATGCACACAACTATGTGAAACCATGTTATTGGATGTTGAACTCTAATGCATCTAAAACTGAAGAAGAGCACCGTATCGCTCGTCCTTGGCTGCCAAGGCAACAGCTCGTCCCTATCTACACAGCTGTCTTCATGTACCCACAGATAGAATACAGCGGTATGAGCTACTGAGGCCGAGGTCATTCTGTTTCTATGTCTGCAAGTTACCCCAAGTGTGACTTGCGTATGACCTGTACCTACTACCCTTTTACCCAGCTAGCTCCTTCACACCAAACACACATGTCGTGGTAACACTCAGTCAGTATGAATGAGATTCAGAAAATATGTGGCAACAATAGGATACAAATCAAAACTTTTCTGTTTTTAAGCCACCTTTGAGTTATAGATATTTCGTGATATGACATGGTCACTTTTAAGCTGTTTTTTCTCTCATTTGTGTTATATGTGTTCATTGTCTTATAGCTGGGTATTGCAATTGGGTTCCTTGTGCCTCCCATTCTGGTGCCTAATGTGGAAGACATGGACGAGCTGGCTCACCACATCAGTGTCATGTTCTACATCACAGCAGGAGTGGCTACCTTACTCTTCGTCCTTGTTGTCTTTGGTAAGATTTGCCACGTAGCACAGTTGTTCCCAACCGATGTTAAGGTTGGTTTAGACTGCAATCATACTACTACCACTTAGAGTAAAGATAAATGTTCCAACCATTTATCCATTACTTTTAGCTACCTATTTAGACTTGTGTGCTTGCTTGCTAACTAGTAACCCCTGGTTGGGAATCACTGATGTAGCATGTCAGTCTAGTGCACAGTTTTGGTTTTATGTGCCATCATTTTGAGACATGAAATCACAATACAATAAGTGAATGGATTTGGTTTATGCTGCTCAAAGCATTTTCAAATTTTAATTGGGACAATTACTTTGATGGAAACTAGTTGAGTAACCAGGGCATTGTTTCCGGCATTACCTGGTGGTGTGCAGTTTTTCAAAATGCAATTTCTCAATGCTTTGTTCAGCTCAAAAGAAGTTTTACTCACCTCCATCATGTTGGAATGGCAGCAGTATTTTCAGAGCCAGACATCTCTAAAACCAGATAAAACTGAAACTTCCTGCATGGCTAGATACCATGAACGGTGTTTTCTGCAGTTTCGGCAGTTTTTGAATTTACATAAAATGTACATTTTTCAACAGATTTTTACTGTACCGTGTAACCAACCATATTTTTGTGAATGGATAGAGGGGAAGTGGTAAATGAAGCAGTAAAGTTTGTGAAATATGAGTATTTTTTCATATTTTCCCTCAGAAACATACTCAGAGCTTTTGATGTATATTGTCTAGGCCCTTTTTCGCTTAGTCCTATGGGATTTCTTTATTTGGTGGCTCTACCTGATGATAGTTTTAATTTAGAGCATACTTACACTCTGACAAGAAGCACCATTCAGTGGGAAAGAAAAGTGCTGAACAGCATGTTCACAACAACACAAAAGCCTCCCTCAAGGGGAGATTGACAAAACGGATACTGTTGTGAAACAAGTAAAGTCCTGAGAAATGTCACAAGAATGGGCACAAAAGTACAAGAGTGCTTCAGCAACAGTATTATTTAAGTACATGTTAGATATACTTAGATATGATATAGAGTTATTAGGAATAGAGGACCTATGACCACAAAAGGACAAAGCATCTTCTGGTTGTGGGAAGTGGCGTGACTAGGGTTAGGGTTACATGTGACATGACAAACAGGATATGAGTTGTTAGGAAAAATGCTGATTTTTAGTCTGCTTTATCTGCTACCCCTGCATTTGGACTCTCTTGGACCATCTACCCCATTATAAATGATCTCAGCGTTTATATTTGTAATTGCACGTTTAGCGCGTCACATTTGGTTTTTCTGTCTATTTTTACTGTGGCGAAAACTTGAATCATTCACTGTGTCATTTAAGGAGGGGGCAGATAAATAACAGAAGTGGTTAGTCAGTACAGTTCCGTATAGTAGCAAACTATGGTGTGTGGTCCTTTTCTATAGAGAACACTGGGCTGGGTCGTTGTCAGAGAGGAGGAACAAGTTGCATGAAAAAGCTGTTGTCCGGTCAGGGCTGGGGGAGGGCGCGAGCGCTCATAAGCGTTCTGTATTCAGACACACAAAAGGATGCTTGTGAAGGCATTCCATAGAAGACTCGGACTGTCAGGGTTGTTAGTATTTTAACTGCAGTCTCCTGTCGTTAATTGCTCATTGCTCATTTCATAATTTATTTTAGTGGTTTCAAACATTTTTTGTGACCTTTTTAATAGAACATTTTGGTATTTACTTTCTTGCCAAGAGTAAGATGAGAACACTGGCACCACACTCATGTCTGTGAGGAAAATATGGAGCTACAGCCAGGAGGTGGTTACCTTAGCTTAGCATTACTCTTTCCAAAGGTTACAAATCAACCTACCAGCACCTCTACAGCTCAGTAATTACCTTTACTCATTTAGCTGATGCAAAGCGATGTACAATTGCTACATATGTCAAGTGATTTTTTTCAAGGACATATCAGTGGATGTGTCACAGTGGAAATCGAACCTAGGTCTCTCACACCAAAAGCACATATCTTATCCACTGTCCCATTGCCACCCTGGTTAACAAGTTATTCCATGTTGTTTTACAACAGAGATATTTTATATACTATGGACGCAGTAACTTCATTTCAGTTTTTGTACAGAAACAACAAAACAGATGTAATGTCTTAATTTATTACCTTTAGAGGTGCTAGTAGGCAAATTTGTTTTAGCTTTTTAATGGAGTCAAGCTAGTGGTTTTCCCCATTTCGCGTCCTCATGCTAAGCTACATTAAGAGTCTCACATTTACCCCACAGAGATGAGTTCTTGCAACGCTCATCCCAGTGCACACATCTATGAGTTGTGCTCTTACTGGAAGAGGGATTTTCCTCTCAGACCGTTTCATCTGAATACATTTTAGGTGCATGAATAAGGTTCAAGTGTACGCTTTTTCAGAAGAAAAGATTAGAGAAATTTAACCAAATGTATTGTAGCAGAACTTCCTACTATGAAAATCATCTTGTGACCCTTTATATTGATCCCCTTCTGGGGGACCCAATCCCCACATTAGGAGCCACTGATTTATTTTATTTATTGTAAACAGTGCAATTGAAAGATAGATATACTAGAAATGAAGAATAAAATGTACAATTCATCCACATTGTGTAACTCTGTAGACAAAGCTTTCGCTGTATTAAGATTGATCAGGACTCTGATTCTGTGCAGGAAGTATAGGCTGTCCTCCACTTTCGGTCATGCGATGGATACTGTGGTGCTGGGAAGGGATGTGACTTATGCTGCTCTTGGTTACTCCAGCGAGATAATTCATACCAGTTGGCCACAGTAGTTTCATGATATGACACATTTACTCACACACATAACACACCCTCACACATACGTGCAAGATGCCATGTGTGAGGGTTGTCCTGCTGGCAGGGCCATCTGTAGCCCTGCAACAGGCCTGTGAGTCAGCAGGGCAGACAAAGTCCCAGGATTCAGAGATTTGCATAAACTGTGTTCAAAGAGAGGTGAGAGAAGAAGTTTGGCTGCTGCTTTCCTCTAAACAAAATTGGCAACCAAAGTTAACCACAAAGAAAGTCTGCATTAAGACATGAGTGCCTGTGGTTGATTGGTAAAGGGGAATCCCCGGGGCTGTTGAAGGAAAATTAGCATGCATAAACTGTTAACAGTTTGTGCACTCCAAAGTCTAGCTGAATAACACTTGTTGTTCGATTTCATTTGAATGACCGCACACAAAGTAAAATGCACCTTAGATCCTTAATAATGAGTAAATAAAGAGTAGGACAGTTTCACAGGATTCCTGAGAGCTGGTCACTGAAAAGTGGTCAGATTTGCTGGAGGGAGAAAGGCTGGTTTAGCTCCAAGAACCACAACTGTGATTTCCAATGAGGCCTAGGAGCACGTGTTTTCACCCAGGATAAAGAGTGACTAAAACAGGTCACATCACAGTTATCACCCCAGAAGGTGGGTCAGAGACCGGCCTACTGTCCGTCTGCCTGAGAAACGCTTATGGGAAGAATATAAGGGTATCTTCATCATGCATTATGTGGAGGTGTGTTAAGCATACCGTATGTGCATGGACATGTCTGACTGTGTCTGGATGTGTCCCATTCCACATCTTTGGAGCTGGAGCTGCTCTCTTTGGAGATGATAGTACACAAAATAAAGACGTCTCATCTGTGCTGGGGCAAAGATCCATGCACTTTTTTTAGACTTGCATGTGGAGGACATTTAGAAAGTTGCAGTCTTGTTTATTTGTATCAAGAGGACAAACATAATGCCCAATATGATGCTTCTGTTGCTTTAGCCAGTTAAGCCAGTTAAACATAGGTGTCATTTACACTGGGGACGCTGGGGGCAAGTCCCCCGTTTTGAAAGCATCATTTGTGAAAAAACATTCTGAAATATAGCTTTCAGTGAAATGCTTTTAGAAGGGTTTATTTGCACTTTAAGAAAACATGCAATGCAATTAAAATATAGAAGAAACAAATGTGCATTGCCAAAAAAAGTAACTCAAGACACAGTTTCTTTTTGGCCAAGTTTTCCGTTCTCTCTCTTTGAACATGACAAAAGAGGAGGGAAGACTAATCATGCATACATGTTGCCTCAGCAGGGATGATATTGCATGAGAAAAGTTGATCTCCAGGAGAAAGAGATCTGAAAGTTTCCTTTTAGATAAATAAAAACATTTCCACCATATATTGGTGCAGAAACGTTCACCAGAATGCAGGAAATGAAGTGTTTAATGATCACAATATCCTGGGGAGGTCGCCCCAGACCCCCCACCCCCATATATCTCGGCATTGAGGATGTCTTTATAACACTGTTTAAGAATCTTTTTGTCTTGTTCTTGTGAACTTAATTTCGCATATCACGATGTCTCGCAAGCTAAGTGTCTCTTCACACCCCTAACCTGAGCCCCCTATGCCCCCACCACTTTTCATGTTCCAAATTGAAACTCTAATACCCTCCTAGTGAGTTATTATGCAGATGCAGTGTGGTATTTCTTTCAGTCAGGCAGTTGCAGAGCCTGATAAACTTCCAAAACAACGTTAGTTTGTGTAGATGATTTAAATGTAAGTGTAAAATTTGCTGTTGGTATTTGGGTTTGCTGTGTTTTACATTACAGATTTTGGTCTCTCCTTATATCAGTCTTCCAGGAGCGACCTGAACTGCCTCCGACTCAGGCCCAGGCAACAGCTCGTAGCATCCCACCAGAGCAGTACTCCTACACTGCCTCCATCCTCAGACTGCTCCGCAACAGGCCCTTCATCCTCCTCATCATCACTTATGGTTGGTCATCACTTTTCTCCAAAGTACTATTTATTAAATTGCATTATTCATTATTTTTATGATACAGTATAATAATATAAATATGTTATTTTAAAATAAGGGAGATGGGTAATTTCTTCTTTCTGTGCTTTAAAATGCATCTTGAGTAAGTGGGGGAAATTACTTTAGTTGATTTATGAATTTATGGATTCTTATAGTTACTATTGAATTGACCAGACCCACAATTTTTTTTTTGCCAGATTCAGGTATTCTCCAAAACCACACCAGTTAGTGATTCTCCTGGATAATAGCTGTTATATTAGCACTGAAAACCCTTAACTGATTTCCAAGAAAGCCTCAACACTCCAACCTTTAAAGCTTAACAAGGTTTATCTTTAAATCTCCTAAACAAAAAAAAGCACACAAGTCATTAGTTAATCAAAAGCTCCTGAAATGAGAGGGACTTTGTCCTGGAGTGGTCCAAAGTTTGTTTATGGTGTGACAATGTTTAACAAATGTATTTGATCGACGTGACCCAACTCTTCTTTGCAGTCTGTCAGGTTTGTAACGTCAATCAAGTCATAGCAAATACTGTATGCCCAACAGCTGTGGACTATTTTACGAATTTCATGTGACACAGTTCATGTGACTATTATTATCGTGCGTGTCTCTGTCCTTCTGTCTTCCTGCATAATGATCTTTGGGAGTTTGTAAGACAACTATGCAGAGTTCACTTGGTCTCAAATTTACCTGTGACCATTACTCTGTGTCCTGCAGGCTGCAGCTCCACCTGTCCCTGTCTGTTTCACTGAGCTGTAGCTGCTGATCCTAAATGTTCAGTTATATTCAAGTAACCGGCTCATTTACACAGTAAAAAATATTTAGATACTAATTGTTATGTTTACATCCTCACTAATTTTATCACGCTCTTTTCCAAAAATGTTGTTAATGTTTGTTGTTAATGGGTTTTTTTTAAAGCAAGTGTATCTTTGTGTGTAGTTTGTCTGAGTTACTGACTTTATCTCAAGACTCAGGACACTCAGTGCAGACCTATCCTTTTATAGAAATCCTTGGTTTGGATCAGCTCTCTGTTTCGGAAACTAGCCTGATTAGGTTCATTTGACACAACTCAAAACTAAAACCCTTCCACTGCTCACATTGAAGGTTTCAGAATTCACGCTCAATATTTCCTTAACATTGTGAAACATTTTTCTGAAAGATGTTTTTGTCCAGTGGTTTATGGTGTCCAGACTTTGTTTGACAACATTTCCCAACTCACAGGTTTGAACGTGGGTTGTTTCTATGCTGTTGGCACCCTTCTGAACCGCATGATCATCGAGCATTACCCTGTAAGTTCTGCCTACTGTGTCTCTACATGAATGCACATACAGTATAAATTAGCGGTAAGACAGCATTTTGCTTTAGTGTTTCCTCTGTGTTGACCTGAAATGAACCAAAACTCTTGTTACACTCCCAACATTTTGACATTTCAGGGCTTGATAAACTGGTTTACTGGTATTTAAGTAGTACATCAAAGATACATTTACAGGTCATGGGAAGGTGAGTCAGGCAAGACTAAAAAACAGGAATGTAGTAATAGTAGTAATAGTAATGTCTATAGTAACACTTTCACACAGGGCAAGTAGACTGAAACTATGGGGAAATGGGATGCTTATCTTTATTGAAGCATCAATACAGGCTGCTGCTCAAATATGTGTATAATTTTATGTTGCTTTTATTTTAATTTTACTCTCCATCAATAGGTGGTGTGGAGAAATGATTGCTGTGACACTAGATTAATGCAGAAACTCACTCAAAGTCACCACAGCTACCAGGCTTGAAAGGATGTCTGCTTTCTCTGAAACTGCCTTGCCTTTCCTTAGTATGTAAGGGCACAAGGTCACTAACCTATGTCCTTTCTTCCTTGACACTTTAGGGAGAAGAGGTGAATGCTGGGAGGATTGGCCTTACCATTGTCATTGCAGGGATGGTCGGCTCACTGATCTGTGGCGTTTGGTTGGACAAAACTAAAACCTACAAGTACGTGTTGAGAATCATAAAGATGCACAGAGAGGGAGTTAAAGCTGAAGTTCACGCGGTGGATAATTTAACAAAAAAAGAAGATTGTGTGACTGATTGACAAAGTTTATGACTTCACTTTTTTACTGTTTTTAACTGTATTTAACTGGACTGTTTTTCTAACTGTATTTGTTCCGCTACACACATTTGACATTTTCTGTTTATTGTCATTTTGCTTCTCATCTCTTGTTTGGTGTTTACATGTTGGCTGTTGGGGCTCTGTGTCTGCTTATCCAGGTGCAGCATGCTGCTCTAACATTGATCTTTCTGACCTCTTGTGCTTGTCCTATGGGTCCTCTCACTGTGTAGAGACAGCAGTGTTTACCCTGTGGAGAGCTGCAGTCAACCCCACTCTGTCTTATTTACAAGCGTTTAGGGTATTCAGGTGTGTTTTGTGGCTACATGCAGGGACATGGTCAGGCCCACTTGGCTTTGTTGTCTAATCCAGACATTTGAATTACACACGCATGTATTCTGATTACACTGTGATTGCCCAGTCTCAATACTAATGTCAACATTTCAATATTGTTGAAAATTCTGTAGGATCCTATGCTGCACTTTTTTAAAGAATTTTTCAAGGCCAAAAGTCAAAAAGGCTTTCTACCAACTATATCTATCACAATGAAACTTTACAAGCTGAAAGTATACATACATTAATTAATGAATTACATTAATTATATAATATGAATTATTTATTATGTTTTTTAATAAATAAGGTATTTCCTTATTAAATGTACACTGATTTGAATGTCACATATCACATTTTCCAGCAAACTGATGAGTCAGATTTGTTTTTTGGTTACACTGTGATAATATACCAAATGGCCACACATTTACAGAACTGTTTATCAAAATACAGTTTTTTCATGAATTTATTCAAAATATATCACTCGTGTGACAGACCCTTTTCCCCACATATTTACAGACAATTCATTCTGCTGCTACCATCATCAGTTACATCATCAATAAATATTAATGAGCCTGTTCCAGAATCAGCCATGCACGCCCAAGCCATGACATTACCTCCACCATGCTTCACAGATGAGCTTGTATGCTTCGGATCATAAGCGGTTCCTTTCTTTCTCCACATGTTGGCCTTTCCATCACTTTGGTAGAGAATAATTTCTGTCTCATCAGTCCATAAGATTGTGTTCCAGGACTTTTGCGGTCCATCTCTGTACTTCTTTGCAAATTTCAATCTGGCCTTACGATTCTTCCTGCTGATGAGTGGTTTGCATCTTGAGGTGTGGCCTCTATATTTCTGCTCTCTGAATCTTCTTTGAACAGTGGATGGTGATACCTTCACCCCTGCACTGTGGAGGGCGTTGCTGATGTCACTTACTGATGTTTTGGGGGTTTTCTTCACAGCTCTCACGATATTTCTGTCATCAACTACTGTTGTTTTCCTTGGCCGACCTGTTCGATGTCTGTTGCTCCAAATTGTTGTGCTTGCTATGCCCAATGTTTGTCCAATGGCTCTGGTCGATTTTCCCTCTTTTCTCAGCTTGACAATGGCTTGCTTTTCTCCCATAGACAGCTCTCTGGTCTTCATGTTTGTTTATCCTCTTTAATAGGAAATGCAGTCTTTATAGGTTTGAACCAAGGATGAAAACTTAGACTAGTCATGCAGAGCTATTTAATGTTTGGACAATCAACCTAAAAGGCAACACCTGGGCAACACCTGTCAGTAACATGTTCCAATAGTTTTGCTCACTTGAAAAATGGGTGGATTCAAACATCTAGATGTGAATACCATGAAATGAGAGCTCTTGTTTCTCATACTCATCTTTTGATCTTAAACCCAAATGTCTTCAGTGAACAACAAAAACAAAGGAATTTGCCTTGCCGACCTAAGAAATGACTTGGCTTACAACAATACACTTAGCACAAAACTAAGTTTGTCAGATGAGCACATTTCTTTTAGATATCTAACATCTTCTTTTAAGGAATAGAACATACATGTAAAATGCTAACAAAGATGAAATTCACGATCTGCAGTTGATGGACTTGGTATAAAATAGGCAAATACTAATGTTTATACATATTATTCAAAATTTATAAAAGTATGGTAATTATTGTTGCAAAATACTCTTTAAATCTGATTGAATTTACTGAAATTGACAGATTTAAGCAAGGGATGTGACATCTCACATGTATTCTCTCCATACATGTCTCATATAATTATAATTCAAGTTATAGTTGAATAATATAATTATTATAAAGTGTTAAAGGTGCTCTGAAGTTTTCCTGTAAATAGACAATGTTTATGTACATTCAGTGTTACTCGCCAAAACGCATTGTGTGTATCCTTGTGGTCTAAAAAACGTGTTAATGCATTTCTTTCCTCATAAAACATCTGCTAAGGTGACGTTTTTGAACATTGTGAAACTTGCACTGTTTAAATATATGTTTACTAGCTAACAATCTTCTTGTTCACTGGCTTTGTGGGCGCACTACCGTGTTAGTTCACCTGTGTATCAGAGGAAGAGTGCAAGACCTGCGTGCCCGTGAGTGTGCACGTACATCATGCTGTGCATGCACAAAAACAAACTGCTCATAAAAATGTCTATTGCGCTACTAGTGATCAAAAACTCCACAAAGAACCATTCAAATATTGAAGCTGTCTATAATGTAACATGTGTAGCCACACAAAATACTGCAATACTGTATCGTGCTAATGATGATTACAGTGTTCACGGTTTATATTTCCAGGCAGACAACCCTCGCAGTCTACTTCATGTCTCTGGTGGGGATGATAGTCTATGCTGCTACACTCGATCTGGGACGCCTCTGGGTGGTCTTCATCACCGCTGGAGCACTTGGGTATTTTTCATTCATTCTTTTAACATGATCTAAGGGTTTCTTTATTTTTAATGATTTGTACAATAATATATGATATGTACACATAATATATGTACACATTTCATTCAGTCAAGGGATATGCTAAATTTGTGAAGTGCAATATTTCTGTTGACATTTGCAACAATAATTTACAGCCATGTTTATTTAGCCCTTAACTTTGGCCTGATAAGCATTTGCATACACTCAGTCACACCGTAGGGCCTAGGGTAAAGATTGTACACACCAGTATTCAAACTTTTTTGAATTTTCTTTTCAAATGGGGGGGGGGGCATATGGAGAGAGGCCACAATTGTGTGGAATCATGTTAAACATTTAATGGGACCATTAAAACATGACTGTTGAAGATGGGCAGGTATTACAGCGAAGTGGATAAATACTTTAAAATAAAGGTTGTAGAGCCAGTACGAATTGGAAAAATTACAGTTGTGAAATTTACACATCTTCTTCTCTGAAGGACTACACCAACATAATATTATATATGCCACAGACCGTGTACTTAATTCCTGTGAGGCTAAATTGTCAACTAACAGAAAGCTTCAGTAGTTTATGCAGCTAGCCTCACATTGCTGCTAGGATTCATTGTATTCAATTGATAAAGGTGTCCAACGTATTTTTCTTGTTTTTCTCCTCCTATTGCATCTAAGAAGTCCATTGTTGATAAGTATTAAAATGAAAATGTTTCTATGTCTCATCCCTAAACAAACTCTTTATGAAAATTAAACCTGCGGTGCAGAACTTTTGTCTCCCCTTCTGGCAGTGAGTGGAATTACACAAACACTGTCGATGCATGCTCATGATGTACAGTAAACATGTAGGTGAGCTCGCCTCAGGCTTTTGTTTAGAAATACAGAGACAGTCCACTGTTTACAGCAATGTCGTCTTGTTCAGTTCTCATGACGACACCCCCCCTTCAGCTCTGACAAACCAATCATAGCTGGGTGGCTCAAAACCAGATTTAAAAACTATAAAACTGCGAATACAGATTTACCAAGCGGTTAATCAGTGATGAACTTGTTTGGCAAAGTCTTGAATATAACAGACGTTCATTTATATGTTAAAGTGTGTAAACAAACAAAAGCAAAAAAAAAAGCAACAAGATGAAAGTGTTGTGTTTAAAGCTCTATGTTCCTGTTATCACAGCACATTTATTGGCGGAGGATGCATAGCCTACATAAATGTCAAAGAAAAGCATCTGCTGCTGTTGCCATTTAAGAACCTTGTAGTTGAGTTTCGCTTTTTGTCACTTCAGTGGAAAGAAGACATGGTGCTATTTATTGAGACCAATTACATCTGTTGTCATTGGTCTTCTTTCAAAACCTGTTATTCAAGGGCTTATTATTAAGGGAGAGAGAAAATACAGCACTGGGTAGGGCCTGGGCATGAGGTGTGTTTTTGTGATAAACTACTTAATCCTTTACAAGCACATTCAAGGCAGTGTTATTAATATCAAATACTAGACATTTTGTGGTTTAGCAAAAAAAAGTGCTGCACCTAAATCACCTTGTGATTCTATATAATTTGATATTCAATTTTCAATTCAATTTTATTTATATAGCGCCAATCACAACAACAGTTATCTCACAGCGCTTTTCATAAAAGAGCAGGTCTAGACCGTACTCTATGATGTTATTTACAGAAGCCCAACAATTCCCACCAAGAGCAAGCACAGGCGACAGAGGCAAGGAAAAACTTCTGGGGGGGGGGGAGAGACACTCTCTACATAATATACACACAGAGGTACAGACAGTAAAGGTGATGTTGCAGTAAATGAAAAATTGTATAGATATTTATAGTAGTGTTAATGATAATCATTGTAATGTTAATGATTATAATAACAATAGGACTAGTAACAATAGTTGTGTGGTGTCGAGCAGGAACACTGGAGCAGCAGGTGACCCGCAGCGACAGATCCAGACTCCACAGCTCCAGAACCAGAAACACCTGCAGGAAGTGATAGGAGGAGAGAGGAGAGGGACGAGAAAGCACAAGACTACCGGAAAGGGGAGAAGTTGTGTTAGTAACATGCAATAATGGGATGAGGTTGCATACAGAGGGAGAGAAAGTAGAGGGGAGAGGAGCTCAATGCATCATAGGAAATCCCCCGGCAGTCTAGGCCTATAGCAGCATAACTAAGGGATGGTTCAGGACTCATCTGAGCCAGCCCTAACTATAAGCTTTATCAAAGAGGAAAGTCTACTAAATGTGGAGATGGTGTCTGCCTCCTGAACCCAAACTGGAACCTGGTTCCACAGGAGAGGAGCTTGATAGCTGAACGCTCTGGCTCCTAGTCTACTTTTGGAGACTCTAGGAACCACAAGTAACCTGCATTCTGGGAGCGCAGTGCTCTGGTGGGGTAGTAAGGTACTATGAGCTCTTTAAGATAAGATGGTGCCTGACCATTAAGAGCTTTGTAGGTAAGAAGAATGATTTTAAATTCTATTCTGGATTTTACTGGAAGCCAATGCAAAGAAGCTAAAACAGGAGAAATGTGATCTCTTTTCCTGGTTCCTGTCAGAACACGTGCTGCAGCATTCTGGATCAGCTGAAGAGTCTTAATGGACTTTCTCGAGCAGCCTGATAATAAAGAATTGCAGTAATCCAGCCTAGAAGTAACAAATGCATGGAACTAGTTTTTCTGCATAATTTTTAGACAGAATATTCCTGATTTTCGCAATATTACGTAGGTGAAAAAAGGTGGTCCTTGAAATTTGCTTAATGTGAGACTTAAACGACATGTCCTGATCAAAGATAACTCCAAGGGCGATCCCATCAAGGGAAACTATATCTTTAGATAATGCGTCACGGAGGTGCTTAGGCCCCAGAACAATAACTTCAGTTTTATCTGAGTTTAACATTAGAAAATTACAGGTCATCCAGGTTTTAACATCCTGAAGGCACATTTGAAGTTTAGCTAACTGATGAGTTTCATCTGGCTTGATCGATAGATATAACTGAGTATCATCTGCATAACAATGAAAGTTTATGGAATATTTTCTGATAATATTGCCTAAAGGAAGCATATACAAAGTGAAGAGGATTGGTCCGAGGACAGATCCTTGAGGAACTCCATGACTAACTTTGGTGTGCATGGAGGACTCATCGTTAACATGTACAAACTGAAATCGATCTGATAAATAGGACTTAAACCAGCTTAGAGCGGTTCCTTTAATGCCAATGAAATGTTCCAGTCTCTGCAATAGGATCTGATGGTCAATGGTATCAAATGCAGCACTAAGGTCTAATAAAACCAGTACAGAGACAAGTCCTTTGTCTGATGCAATGAGGAGGTCATTAGTCATTTTCACCAGTGCTGTCTCTGTGCTATGATGAACTCTAAATCCTGACTGCTTTCTCCAGGATCTTACAGAGAAATGGAAGGTTAGATATAGGTCTATAGTTGGCTAAAACATCCGGATCAAGTTTGGGCTTTTTCAGAAAGGGTTTAATTACAGCTACTTTAAAGTACTGTGGTACATAGCCTGTTGATAGAGATAGATTGATCATATCAAGTATAGGAGTGCTCACTAAGGGTATAACTTCTTTAAGCAACCTAGTCGGGATGGGGTCTAAGAGGCAGGTTGATGGTTTAGATGAAGAAATTATTGAAGTTAGTTGGTAAAGATTGAGGGAAGCAAAGCAGTCTAAACATATATCTGGTTCTACAGCTGTTTCTAAGGTTCCTGAGTTTAGAGATAAGTCGGTGCCAGTTGAGGGCAGGTCTTGGTGAATTTTGTTTCTAATAGTTAGAATTTTATCATTAAAGAAGCTCATGAAGTTGTAACTACTGAGAGCTATGGGAATATCTGGCTCAATAGAGCTGTGACTGTCAGCCTGGCTACAGTGCTGAAAAGAAACCTGGGGTTGTTCCTATTTTCCTCTATTAATGACGAGTAGTACGCTGCTCTGGCATTACGGAGGACCTTCTTATATATATATATATATATCTTGCCAAATTAAATGAAAATTTTCCAGTTTGGTGGAACGCCAATTGCTCTCAAGTTTCTGCGATATTTGCTTTAATTTGCAAGTTTCAGTGTTATACCATGGAGCTAACAGTCTTTGTTTTATTATTTTCTTTTTTAGAGGGGCAACAGAGTCGAGTGTCATTCTCAGCGAGCCTGCAGCACTATCAACAAGATGATCGATTTGGGAGGGACTGAAATTAGCATAGGAGTCCTCCGTTACTTTGTGACTTGATAATGAATTTAGAGCTGATGGAATCGCATCCTTAAATTTAGCTACAGCACTATCAGACAGACGTCTTGTATAGACATTTTTGCCCAATGGCGTGTAGTTCAGCAATACAAACTCAAGTTATCAAACAGTGGTCAGATAAAGAGGGATTCTGTGGGAACACTATACTATGTTCAATTTTAATACCGTATACCAAAACAAGCTTCATGAACACTCTGAGAGAAGCCAATGGAATCTAACAGAGAGATAAACGCAGTACTAAAGTTGTCATTATCAACGTCCACATGAATATTAAAATCCCCTACAATAATAACTTTGTCCGTTTTAAGGACTAAAGTTGACAAAAACGCAAATTCAGATAAGAATTCAGAGTACGGACCTGTGTGTGTGTGTGTCCCCGTCCAGGTTCTTCATGACAGGCTACCTGCCACTGGGCTTTGAGTTTGCGGTGGAGCTGACCTACCCAGAGTCAGAGGGAACCTCATCCGGACTACTCAACTGTTCGGCACAGGTACAGCTTAGTGACCTATAGGGTCACTCTCAACATAATAGTGCAGACAAGCCCAGCACATCAGCAAATGGATGGCATGAGAACAAATGTTTTTACTGGTTGTAGAGAAAAAAGTGAGCCCTTCTTCCTCCATATCAGTGCAGGTTTCGAAGAAGACCTGAGTACATATATTAAAACAGTTTAGAGAACAAGAATACAACTAATAACAGTAACAGTCTGCAGAATCTGTCCAGAGCTAATTTCCGGATTTGACTTTACATTTTGAAAGTCTGTAGATTAGTTTGTTCCTTGTTGACCCAGAAGCCTTTTCATCAAATTCTTCAAATCAAAACATGCAAGCTGCAATTTACAGCATGACACAAAACAAACACGATACTTCATGCACATCATGCATGAACATGTGTGAGCCCTGACTCGTACATTTGAGTTTCCCGGAAACAATAATTCATGAAATGCGATGCTTCTACCATTTACAATCTGAGTGTAAGCGGTGATTACAAAAGAGTTTTTGTGAAACGGGCCCCCGGATAGCTGATTGCAGGTACTGGCACTATAATACTTCCACGGAGTACAGCAGTTTTGGCTGCAGGGAAAAATATGGATGCTGCTTCTTAAAGGCCTTAGCTGCTGAGGGATGAAAGTGAGAAGCACATTTGTTTTGTTGTTGTTTTTTTGTCTGCTGTGTGTGCGTGTCTGTGCATGCAAATACCAGCTTTATTCCTAACTGGCGTGTTCTGCATGCCCAGGTGTTTGGCATTATATTCACCATCTGCCAGGGGAAGATCATCGACAGCTTTGGCACACTTGCAGGAAACATCTTCCTCTGTGTCTTTCTTCTAATCGGTACAATAATGACAGGTAAGACCTTTCTGACTATGAAACATATGCTCTATAGAGTCATAGCAAGCTACTGAATTTATCCCACATAGAGCAATGCTGAAGAACTGTCTCGTCGGTTAGTTTCTGTTATGAATTTGCTCTGGGAAAGTGTTGAATTCCAAGAAAGTAGATGATGGGTACTGTGCACTTTGAAGGGCTGTTTCAGGGTTGTGTTATGATACAGATTACCAACATAATGACAGATGTTTTTGTATCGTGTTGTATATTTAGCAAAGCATTGTGTCACATCCTTACAGGAAAGCTATATGACCCTGGAAGTAGTTTCTTAGAAATTATTTCATCTCCTTGAAAGGGTTCAATACTGTGCCTTGTTTAACTGAAGTTGGGGAAAAGATGGTGTGTGCCTCCTCAATTGAAAGTGACTGTTTTTCATTAAGCAAACACTAAGCAGAAGTTTCAAGACAAGTCAGAGGCTGCAGCGGTAAACATTTTGTTGTCAATTGACTGAGTAATGGAAAATTTTGCATCACTCAGAAGGTAAACAATGCACATGCATTCTGACACTCAATATCTTTTTGTGTAAATGTAAGACTTCATGCCTAAGTCAACACGTAGGTTTTTTTTGCATGGCCTATTGAGGGGTTTATAAGCAATGTATAACTTATTAAAAGCGCTTTAGCCACTGAAGCGCTAAACTTTGTACACAATATAAAACCACTGCAAGACTATGTAATGACACTTATCTTCTCACAAAGGTCAGCAAAATGACTCAGTGTCTTTTGTAACTTACTCCGTATTTAGACATATGAGTGGACCTCTTGTTGTGGCCACCGTGCCAGTTTTTAAAGGAAAAGAAACCGCTTTATGAGAAAACCACAACTGAACTCATTTCTTTTATTTGTGTGATATACCGTAGAGTCTTATGTGAAGCTGCCATCAGTGTTGGCCCTGTAATATATTCAGTTACAAAGGTTATAATCTGTTGTGAAATCGGAGTTAATGATTAAGTTGCAATCACGATGATGAGTGCAACATTGAGGGTAAGTTAGGGTGCATGACTTTTCTGCAGAATTGCTTTTGTTTGTTGAACTACTTTTAAAAAGTGTATTAAACTTAAATAGAGCCACAGTTCTGATTGTAATGTGTCTGTGCAAATGAGCCACCTACTGGACAGTCACATTTATTACATCATGTCATACAACCACACTGTTTTTATATATTAATAATCTGCATTAATATTATTAAAATTTGTTTGTTGCTGGGGCGCTGGCTCGGTTGGTAGAACATGCGCCCCATGAACTAAGGCAGAATCCTTGTCGCAATGGCCTGGGTTTGAATCCGACCTGTGGCCCATTGCTGCATGTCACCCCCTCTCTCTATCTAATAGCAAAAATCCCCCCCCGAAAAATGTTTTAAAAAACCAGAAAGTTGTGTGTCATTATGTCATGCAGTCTTTATTTCCCTGCAGGTTTAATCAAGTCTGATCTACGGAGACAAAATGCAAACCTTCTGGCCAAAGCAACAGCAGTAAGTGTGTGAGAAAAAGCCTGCTATGATAGCACTATGAAGTTGAATAGGCTTTTTTTTTTTTTGCAGAGGACATTTTGACATCTCACTATAGGAAAAAGCACAGGTATAAATGTTAAAATGAATTATGGCTGAATACCATTTAGCTGCTTCAGTTTCAGGGTCCTGGTATACTGTCACCGTGATAGCTTACTCTGACATTTGAATAAAATGGAGCCATTGCTAGTGTAGTAACACCTGTGCTTCTACTATGCCAAGTCAAAATTCTGCTGCGAAAAAGGCCCATGTATTCTGTGCTTGCTTTGCAAGTTTTCATGGAAGGCATGAAGTCAATATCACATGTGCGTCTTGTGCTGCTCCAGAAATAATTTTTATAACTAAGAAATAATTCTTTTGTCTCTATTTTTGCTGTCGTCGTGAGTCAGCCTGCTCGTCTGTCCATAAAACATGGTTGAATATGGGCAGATTACTGTCTCTGCAGTATGTGTTTTTGTGCCGTTTTCATCTTTCTCATGTGTCTGCGTGTTGTAAAACAGAAAATGCATCTGCCTGCGTAAACCTCTCTCCCAGACACCTTAAGAGACGCAATGGCAACCGACGCTATTACCCATGGGTTTTAGCCTCCTCATCAGGGTGTCTGCCTCCCATACTCAAGGTCACTGGTTCAAGTCAGAATCAGGCACTATAATTTGGATCCAGTTACACCTGCAGATGCTTACATGTTTAGAAATGTATTCTCAGACATAATATATCTTAATAGCTCATTCAATTTGTCTGAATAGTAACAGTTAATGCTTTATTGCTTTCACCCATTCTGTTTTGATTCGGTCATAATACATTGCTTCCCCTTTCAATTCTTTCTATTTTTATTACAGCATCTGGAAACAGACCAAGAATTTACAGAGGGACAAAGTACCTCAAATTTAAATGATTTAAAGCAAAATTTAGTGAATATTTCAATGTTACACAAAAGCAACCAAAGCAGTGCTGCCCCCATGGACAAAACGTTGTTGTTGATGTCTGGGTGGGTCTCCAAGCTCTGTGGTCAAGTTACTGATGAGCGCTGACAGGAAATCAGCAGTCAACATTCCTCACATCTAATGCTTACATTAGATTACATTTGGTTTCTGGTGGCGAGTTAGATGAGATGATCAATACCACTCTCTGTTAAATACGAAGCTAGAGCCAAGAGATGACTAGCTCTGGCCTGCTCCTGCCTACTCTGCTTTTATGTTACCAAACTCGAAACACTCAATTTGGAGGTCCAGACCGACGTATACCAAGGCACATAACACTTGAACCTCCCAGCAGTAAGTGGTATACATTTTCTTTTCTAGCTATTGGAAATAAAGCAAATGAGCATATTTCTGAAATTGTTAAACTATGCTTTTAAGCATAACCTCCAAGCTGGATTTAGCTTGACTTTAATTACCTAAAAAATACAAACAAACAAGAGGGAATTCATTCTGGCAAGAATTCAGTGAGGGAATTACAAAACTGCCTCTTAGATCATATTCTGTCACAGCAACTTCATCCCAGACTGGAGACTCACCTCTGTAAATGCTGAATGAGAAGTGATCAGTAGCTGTTGTTTTAGGCGGAGGCGCAGAAGTCAGGACACGACTACGGAGCCACGGCGCTCATCTCCCAGCCACAGACTCTTCCTTCTCAAGCCTGATCAATGCACCTTTCTGCTTCCACAAAAATCAAATCTTACACAAAGATGCACAAAGGTAGGAGCAGAGAGCAATCAGCACACCCTGTCATTAATCACCAACACCTGCTGCACGTCCTTCCACCTGTCACTGTTAACCCTGCCTTTTCTGTCTCCCTCTCAGTTTCCGACTGTCACGCTGAATAATATTCACACAATCAGTAATTTTTTTTCACTAAGCCTGGTTGAGTTTGTGTTGATTTTCTTCAACTACATCAATTGCAATTCCATCTGAATTTATCTCAACTAATTTAAGTCCACTCAATAATTAATCCCAACAAAGCCTATGCACCTGATATATAGTTGGCAAAAACCATATAATGATAAAAAAAAATCATTGACATGGGAGTGTACCTGGGTTACTATTGACTACTGCTATCACCATCACTCTCAGAATAATTTTACTGTGTGGATAGCTGACTGACTTTAACCCTCCCCATAAATTCCGTATACGATTTCAGTTCTTCATCAGTATACAGGGACATTTTTTAGATGTTGGTACAAAACCATCTTATTTGAAACTACAGTTTTATTTATGGAATGAAGAAATAGACATTTTGACATGTAAAGCACAGGTGTAAATAAAATTAATCATGGCTGGATTCCATTTAGCTGCTTCAGTTTTAGAGTCCTTGTATTGACGTCATTGGTGCGATGCACACGCTCACGTGGGGATAGAAAACAAACCACAATTTATGAGATCAACATTTCAGGTTGTTTTGTACCTTCAAGTTGTTTTTAAACCAGAAACCTATGCGTGCTGGCTCACTGTTATGTCTTATTGACTGCCATTATTATTGTTATTAGCAACACCTGTGCTGTTCCTACTCCATTATTTCAAAATGTCTGCTGCGAAGTCATGTTGTGCCATTTTTCATCAAGAACTGAAGACATTTGAATAAGTCAGAGAATATATAGTTCGCATATCCACATACAAGCATTCATACAGTGGCTATGTCCTTTAATAAAGCTGAAGAATTAGCGTGTTTTGGTCCTATCGTCTTTCATTAACAGAATGTAGACATGTATTTGCTCTCAAGATTACAATAATGACCAAAGTACAGGTAGGATAATGGGGAAAAAATCCATAGAAATGTATGCACTCTTTCAGTCATAGGTATGTTAAATGTTTGAGTTCAGAATGAATGTAGGAATGTGTACATAGGCTTCAATAAGAGTAGACACTGGTTGTGGTGATCAGATGAGAGAATGGCTGAGATTAGATGGATCTGATGAAACTGTAGTTTAACAGGGAGGAGGTGGGTCGCGATGACTCACAGTGAAATGACAGCTGATGGCAGCAGAGAGGACAGATTGAAAGTTTTGACAGCAACAGTATGATTGGCTGACCGAGATCGTGGCGAATTCTGTTTGGTTTTACTGAAGAGTATACGCCCATGGGAGTTTATGAATGAGAGAGGGTTGGAGAGAGAGAGAGAGAGAGAGATATGAATGAGCGAGAGAGATGTGAATGAGAGAGTAGCACAGTCTTCCTGACTGAGCTTCAAACTTCTGTGTTGAATCCATAAAACTGTTAAATTGACAAACCTGTTTCGATTGATAGGGACCTTCCGACTGCCACAATGGGAGCCTGGCTGCACCTTCTGTCGTCAAAGAAGCAGTTTTAGACGCACATGCACTATCATAAAAGTTTTGAGCATAGAAATTCCCTGCTCAGAAATATCTTTTTATATTTAAGTGTAAATTAAATGCTGTCCCTAAATCTGCAAGACAAATGTATGAAATGTTTGTTTGTGAGTTGATCATTTTACCTATCAGTATGTTAAAAGTATACAGTTGATTATGTGCTGTGTGTGTGTGTATGTGTATATATGTGTGTATATATATATACATATATTTGCCAAAATGGATATACACAAATTTTGTCATTGCGTAAACCGTTAACCATGTAAATCCAGGATCCACAGTTTTACAAGTGACTTTGGTAGAAAATCCATTCAGCAGATGACAGACAGTTGTGTAATATGTGTAACATTATTCATGTTTACTTATTTAACATCAAATAAAACTGTTGTACGATGTTTCTTTACTTCATCGGGTGTCACGTTTTACGTTACTGCGGATGTCATGGTGAAGCTACCTGACTGAGCCATAGACGATTGGACAACCATAACCCAGTATACCCAGATGGCACACCTCCAAAACAAGTCAGGGAAACGGGACCTGCATGATCATACGGTGAATGTGACAATGGCATTTCTCACTGTGTTATCACGATACAGATGCCACTGATTACAACATCAGACATGTATAAAAATTAAGGGCACAGGTAAATGCACACGCATACAGCAGTTATCTCTCTTGAGCAATTGCAGCATGACATGTTGACCAGAAGGCACAGGTTTTACAAGAGTAGAAAAAAATAACCAAGGAAGCAGATGTGGATAATGTTTCAGTCATTTCAAGTACAATTTTGATGTACTTCTGACTGACAACTGTAGTTACCAGTTGGTTTTCAAATGAAGATTTTACTTTCTTTTTTAAAACATATAAGCTTATAAATACAATACAAACCCTCACAAAAAAGCACCGTGTACTCTGGGCCCCAGAGTCTCTGGTTTCATTTAAATAATTGCCTGAGGCTCAAAGAGGTCAGTGTCACAAAAATCAAAGAATAGAGAAAAATAACTATATATTTATGTGTATTGACTTCTCTTGCTCAACTATAACCATAATCTGCTTTTGACTGCAGGACTTTTACTTGTAATGGCCCAATTTCTTTTACATGGTTGGCCACATGGTGGCAGCATTGTTACAACAGGGCTGACTCCTCAAATGAACTGAAGGCCCAGAAGGATTTGAGTGAGGAGCCCAAGAGGAGAAAACATAATTAAAGTACATTGTTGATATAGTTAGTATTCTGAGTGTCCCATTAACTGTTTATACTGTGATTTAATCAACTTTGAAAATCTCTCCTACGGTGTAACCTGAATAAAGGGGATATCTGCTGATCTAAAGTGTTGGTCTGATTAAATACATTAAACTTCACATTGACATAAATAGAGATAAAGTTGCCTCTGAGCAGCTCTGTTATGAGATCATCCTGACTTCAAGCCAGTGCTCAGAGAGCAGCTCCCATTTGACTGATTCTCTGATGATCTCATTGTTCTCCAGTTAGCTAATGACTGATCCTTGGCATATTCTTTGTTAAAGGTTCTGTCATGAGTTTTCCCTGGTACTACAGGTTCATTAGCACATAGATCTGTGGGGAAAAACCTATCCATTAATGCAAAGTCCAGCTAAGAGTATGGCATAAAAATACCCCTCTCTGCACTTTTATCTTTTGTTTTTCAACAGCTGCCAGTCATCAGTCAACTAATCATCTAAATGCTACTTTTAATATTTTAAAACTTAAGTTCCTAAGAGAAGAATAAAAATGTAAACAAACAGAAGACCACATTTCTGTTTTTCGGTTTCGGTTTTGTCAAGAAGGCGTGAGGCTGACCTACCGTACAGCACTGCCCCTTTTAGTAATTGTGTCAACACTTTATAGTGTACACCACGCAGTAGAGTTTCCTTCTTTTATGACCTTTATTAATGTGGAATATATGAACTGGAAGGTCACAAAAGGATGAGGACGAGCAGGGTGTGACCTCAGACTTGCTGGGGAAACTCCTGACGGCCTGCCCACTGTAGGGATGGATTTGAATAAGGACCGTTGTATGCATGTGACATTTCAGAGCTCTTTGGAAGAACTTACTGTACATATAAAAATTTGGGTCATTTTGTTCCTTCTAAGGGCTTTTGTTTGTTTGTTGTCATTTCTTTGGTAGGTGGGAGGGAGGTAGGATGGAGCATAAAACTAAATTTTCCTCTCATCTTTACATTTGTTAAATCGATTTTGTTGATGTTACATGGAGCTCAATACTTGGCCTTGGTATTACACAGACAAAAACACACATCACTGTCTCATGCTCTTATATGTAATGTGAGTAGGAATGGACAACACAGATAACATTTTAATTCACAGTACATACCATTTTATATTATGATATTGATATCTATCATTGAAGAACCCAGAGCCATGTTGAGAGCTCCACAACCTGCCATTGAAAAAGGGCCCATTGGAGAGAATGTTTGTTACTGAAAATTGCTTTCTTATTTTGATTATTATAGTTTTATAGTTTGTGTTAATATGTTGGGCAACATTGTATTGTATGCACTCATGCCAATAAAGCCACTTGAATTTAAATTGAAAAGAGATGACGCAACTCTTTCTCTGCATGGCTCTGGAGCAGCCATAGCTAGTCCACATGAGGAAGTGTCCTTGGGCAAGACACTGAGCCCCAAATTTCTTCTGATGGTTGGCCAACACCTTGCATGCTAGTCACTACCATCAGTGTGTGCGTGAATGAGTCAATGAGCGCCATTTATCATTTACAAACACTGACAATTTGTGGGTTTTAGAAGGAGTTGCAACTAATTCTTGATGAACAAAAGTGTATCTCTCTGCCCATGCAACTCTCTCGACATATCTGTGTACGGATGAAACAATTGTGTTAATCAGTTAGCATCAGTGGTACCAGTAGACCTATTTTTGAACTGTGGAGAGAGCCAGACTACCCGTTTCCCCATTCGTCTATATGCTAAGCTAATTATCTCCATACTTAACACACAGCCATGGGGCAATCTTCTCATCTGACTCTTGGCAAGAAATCAACTAGGGGTATTCCCAGTTATTTTAAAAGATAACTGTATAAATGCTATGGCATTTTTTCAGTATCATCGCCTCCCTCTCCTAGACTTGGTGGTAGCTACTTCCTTGCAGATTACCTGTTTTACCAGCATTACCACATGATCGGTGAGCGTACCTCTCTTTCATGACTCACACCCTGTAAACACAAATACTGAATACTCCTCTGTAAGGGTCTATGATGATTTATTCTGCAATGCTGTTGCATGATGGTTAAGTTCGTCATTGGCCCTGAGGGTGCTGATCCTATCTGGCTGCTGGTGCTTCACAGATACTATCAACTATCCACACCATGATCCATCCTGCAGCCACAAACCCAAAACCTAAAATGCACATCTAAAATTACAAACACTTGTTTAGTTTTCATAGATGTTTGTCTGAGTGGAAGGAAAACAGCACCGTGCGATCAGTTGTGTGTGTTTTTTTGTCACGTAAGGGAGTAGGGACTAGATTTGAGGCCTTCTCATGACTAGTGAGAAACTAGAAATAGAACATCAATTCGCCATTAACACCACAAGTTAGCGTAGGAGTGTAGATAGCCATCAGACTGATGAAGCATGATTGGAAGGAGAAATGTGGAGGGAGGAGGCTAAAAGCGAACACAGCATGATGCAGTGCCTCCTGTTTGTGTTGCCTGTTAAAACAGCAGAGATTGATGGTGCTGGCCACGTACAACACACAGTAGTAAAAGAGGGAGCCATGTGCACCCGAGCACAGACACATGGGCGGGAAAATAGATAAAGCCTTAAAGCAATTTCTAGAGATGAGAAAAACAGAAAGAAGGAGCGCTAAAAAGTGAGATTGGTCTAGCTGACAAGGGGGATATCAAAACAACTGCAAAGAGAGGAGATGAAAGTATTACTACGACTAAAAGTGAAATACAAGTAAGTGTGGTGAAGACTTTGTCATACACAGATGGCCACTTGGTGTATTTTGGAGAGGCTGCTGTACGAGCACATCATCCATGCACATTCTGGAGAAATATAACTCACTCACAGATGGACTGCAGAGAAGGGAGGTGCTGCAGTGAAGTCAAACTGTAAACTGATTCTTGATATTCAACAGTGGCTCGGCGCCAGAGGAGCTGTGCTTGGTACCAGTGTATTCTTCTTCCTCACTCCACAGAGAACATCAAGACTTTTCTCATTTTCTTAGTTTGGTCACTTTCTTTTTATTTATTTTTTTGGCGGGGTGTGAGTATGTCTGTGTGTGGCCTCCTGCCGGCATTAGATAATGAATGCTTGAAATACCAAACACTGAAAAGTTTGTTTTTCTATTCTGAACATACAAAAACATATGCCTGTTTGGTGTTCTTGGTACTTGTTAATGACTGGAGCACACTGAAGATTTCAGGTGAGGCAGAAAATGACAATAAACAGGAAGAAGCCATATGTCTTCTTCTGCTGTACAAACCAGTACAGATTGTTATATTCCATCTCAGTCTCATAAAAATGATTTAGATTTTATGCAGGCTGGCCTTTTCACAACTACTCTTACATTCATTAAATCAGTAACATTTCAAACAACCTCATTAAACACCCCTCCTCTTTAATTATCTAAAATTTTAAATAACTTCATGTCATGGTGAGTCTCATGTGGTTTACCATGATTACAGCATGAAAACTTTGGGTGCCACACAAATTTTTGCCTTCAATTTTGTCACACAAAAAGGGCGTCACGATGTGTGTTGTGGCTGTGTTGATTAGCTACTGCACTTGGGGACTAATTTCTTCCAGTGTTCCCCGAGGGGTGTGTGTTGTTTTCATTTTATTGTTCATGGGGAAAATGGCTCAGCTGGTAAAAATGGAAAAATCACTTAATTTTTCCTCCACTGCCGAGCTACTGTTTTGGCTTTTAGAGCTTGCACGCCTCCGCCTACGCAGCTGTTTGGAGACTGGATGTCCATTAAATGGTTTATGTTTATGGGCACGTGGAGGTAAAGGTGCTCCCAAATCCTGTCAATGACACACTGTAATGACCAACAGTACTGTAGGACATTATGGAACATTTTTCTACAGTACAGCACACACCTAATGACAAGCGAGGTATTCATGCAATAGTTTGCAGAAAAAAAAACTTCCTTTCCTTTATTTACCTTGATTTACCTTTACATTTTTCTTCTGCGAGCAGGAGAGGCCTGGGCCGTAGCTTTCGGAGGAGGTTTCTCTGGCTGCCTCGGGTTTCAAAGCTGGCAGGCTGATCAGAGCACAGGAGGTTTGTAAGCCTTGGCACTAACACACAGCACCAGGCTTTGAGGACCCAGATTAACCTGCACAGTAGTTAAATAAACACACATCCATGCGTGCCGCATGAATGGACGTTTCATCACCACTTGCCACATTTCCGTGATTGTATAAGACTCACACCTTATTGCACTCCATGATGCAATTAAAAATCAACAAAACAGTCATAACACAAAAACATATGTGGAATATTGACTAGCAGTGAAGTATGAGTAGGCCTACAGTGTGCACTACAGTTTAAACTTCCTAAATTACCTTCACTTCTTCACGTTTGGAGCTTTTTCCATGACTTTGTTTTTTCAAGATTTGGTTTAGATGTTTGTCAGTTGTTAGCTGCTTCCTGTGTTCACCGATCAAGCTTTGCATTGTGCACTTTGGTCCAACTAAAATTACCTCAAGACCAAATTGGCTTGGCCCCAGTGTGTGTATGAGTCTGTGGCAGAGTGGGGCTGACTTTCAGACAACTGCAGGGCAGGAGCTTAGTGGGGTGTGAGGTAAACCCCCATGGCGGCGGGTCGTGTTAAAACAGCAGAGGCAGGAGGGTGGGGGGGCAGCACTTGTGTTTGTACACAGGGAACCCCGGGCAGGTCAGTAAAAAGAGCTTTATTATTTAGGCCTCCGCCAAGCAGAGATCAGGGTGGAAAATACACAGGATCCCCGGCGCCAAGTCCCTTGCTCTCGGAAAATCCGCCCCAGAAGCGTCCAAGCGAAGGGCCTGGATTTAATCACCCACCGTGGCATTTGTCCTCAGTCTGAAGAAAGAAAGCTACAATCAATCTACATCAGTGTGACTCTAAATCTCTCCACCAGCAATCGTATTAAAAAGACACGTTCTCTATTGTGTGAGTAACCCTCAATTTTAATTCAGGACAAGAATTCAGAAATGACTTATGTCTGTTAATAGAAACTGTCAAACTATTACTTGTTCTGGCAAAAAAGCTGCACTTCTTTAACTTCATGTCCATTGATAATATACACATTCATGCACTGTGTCATAATGACATAATATTTACTT